TGGTGTCGAATAAATCTGTGTCGAATCGAGCGGTGTCGAATCGTACTGTGGTCAATAGAGTATCACCCACTCTACAAATCGATATGCATATTCATTAGTACAATTTATTTATAGTTAACACATATAATATTGTAATTAATAAATTATACTTAAAATTGATTTATTAACTGTATTATTACTTTCTATTTAAATTATATGCATTTGAATGACTTAAGATGGCTGAATTCAATCACGCTCTTTTATTGGCCAACAAAAATGCTTGCGCACGAGCACACCTTCACGAGCATTACTTTCACCATGCGATTAAGCATGAAACGGACCGCAGCCTTAGGGTGCATCCAAAAGCACGATTGCTCAGTGAGCGGCTAAATAGCAATCGGCTGTGATTGGTTGCCATATTTTAATCTAAACCAATCACAGCCGATTGCTACTTAGCCGCTCACTGAGCGGTCGTGCATCTGAATGCATCCATAGGCTATGTTCGTTTTTTACTAACAGTACTGAAAATCTATAAATTCATGTCACGTATACTATAGATTTTTCAGTACTGCCAGTAGTAACCGAACAAAGCCATAGACGTAGGCTGCGTTCGGAAAACGCGCTATCAGCGCTGTTGCATCATTCTATCTTTATTGCTCATTAGATATAAAACAAAGATAGAATGACGCAATAACGCGGATTTGTTTTACATCTAATGAACAATAAAATCTGTGTTCCGATATTTACTGCCAGTACTAAAAATCTATACTTTACGTTACATGTGCTATAAATTTTCAGTACTGGCAGTGAATATCGGAACGCAGCCAAAGATAGAATGATGCAACAACGCTGATAGCGCCCCCCCAAACGACCACAGCCGTAGAATGTATAGACTACGCGTTCCCTTTGCCCATAGACATAGGAATATCATAGACGTATAATATATAGACTGCGCGTTTGGCTGAAAAGATGTCTTCAACGTTGAGACAGCAACATACTTTGAATAGTACCTCTTTCTCTGTTTATCAATGTCTGTGGTGAAATCAGAGCAACCCTGGCTAGTACGGTGCCGACCTGAAGCTCAATGTTACGGTGCAGACAATATAGTAGCCTCTCTCTCCAGCTGCTTTGTGCGCATGCGGTGAACATTCAAGCACGCTTGCGCATTTCTCTATCTCGCGTTCTTTCTCTCACTTTCCAATGCTTTGTCTCGCTCGCACTCACTTGGTAGATGCGCCTGCGCATAATGACGCTCGACCATCTATGCCACTGAACTCTATATACACTGGAATGCGCATCTTCGCCTAACAAGCATAGCGAGACGTGGCACAAATTGATCAGCGCCATTTTCGTTGGCCTGGTATTTTAGCAAATCAAAAGTGCGTTCCGCGTCCCGCTACAATGAATCAGAAGCATTCTCCTAGCACGCGTAGAAACGTGTTACGGTTGTATAAGTTGTGACGTGACACTTTTCGCGTCCGTCACAAGGTCATAATTTTGGCCGGCACGAGAGGCGATGGGCTCGCGTCTTCCACTATTTTAGGGAGAGCAGCTTATTAAGCGGCGTAGCGCACGCGTAGGCGCTTAATTTTGCGAGGACGCATAGCGT